ATTGATAAATCAATTGATTCGACCCCCCCCCCTGAAATGTATAGGCATACTTGTACAGGTTCCACTCCAGTGGCCTATCTAGTGTGTCCATGCTTGACTGCCATAAGGCTCAAGAGATATAGGATAAGACTCTGCGTGAGCAAAAGACACTAGCGGTCTGCACCTCTACCGTGTACGCCCTAGTCACTCTTTCAGTGGTAGCGGAGCAGTGATCCTGGAAGACCCAGGTGAGCTCCTTTCCTAGGCATAGAATTGCTTGTGGGCAAACGGCCATGGATTGGATTGACGACTGGGAAGAGCCTGATGCGGATGTGGCTTATGAGCCAGCAGCCTACGTGAATAGGCATGTGAGAAGAGAACCAGCAGCTATAGCAATGACAACACAGGTCACTACAAAGGTGCCCCCATCTTATGATGGAAAGACTTCATGGTTTTCCTATGAGGATGCCATAGACGATTGGTGTGATATCACCGAGCTGGAGGATGAGAAGAGAGGACCAGCATTGAGAAACCGACTAGAAGGAGAAGCAGCTGTATACAAGCGAGGTTTAGACAGAGATGCATTGAAGGCTAATGAGCCACCAGGAGCTGGAGTAGATTACTTCAAGAGAGTACTACGACCATATTTTGTGAAAGGATCAACCAATGTATTCCTATACAGGTTTATGCAATTCGTGCGATTCAATCGAGGATCAGCCGACATGATGAAGTGGATGACAAGATTTCAGATTTTACTCCAAAGGCTTATGAGCAGTTGGATGGACATGTTAGAGCCAGTCACACAAGCACATCCTCAGGTCCTAGCTCAGATGCAGGCTGATGCAGCGTTGACTGGAGTAGCTCCAACGGCAGAAAGGATTCAGGAAATCATGCAGACCATCAATGGCAATATGAGAACTTTTCATCAGAATGATTTTCCTTTGGGAGAAAATCTGATTGCCCTACTCATGCTGTCACTTGCGGGTTTGTCTCAGGACCAGAGGAACACTTTGACCTCTTTGATGACTCATCGTGGTAGAGTCCTGCAGCAATACACCACAACAGAGTTGAGGACAGTTTTCATTGAGATGTTCTGCACAACAAAGACTTCAGTAGACAATCCTCTTATGCAGCCAACAGGTGCTGGAGGTAGAAGATCATTTCTCGTACTAGACGAAGGAGAACTCGATGGTACATTTGTCTATTGGGCCGAAGATGAAGAAGATGGAACAGAAGGATTCCTAGATGCCCTGGACGATGTCTTTTGGGTATATGATGAACAGAATTTCTCTTGGTTCCAGAGGAGATTCCAAGGAAGAAGAGCCAGAAAAGGCAAAGGCAAAGGAAGAAGAAAAGGAAAAGGAAGATCAGGCCGCAGATTTTTCAGACCTCGAGGAAAAGGAAAAGGAAAGAGATGAGGTAAAGGCCATTATGCTGATGAGCAATCGACAACTTATCCAGAAGAGTATTATGAAGAGAATCCTTATGAGGACACTTGGGAGTCAAATCAAGTAGCATATGATGCTATCCTTGCCGACGATATGAATGACTATCTTCAAGGAGAATATGAAGATGCCAATGACTTTTGGCAACAGCTTGAAGAAGCATGGTTTTCCCACAAAGGAAAAGGAAAAGGCAAGAGAAAAGGCAAGAAAGGAAAAGGAAAAGATAAAGGAGATGGCAAACAAGATGCAAACTACGCAAATCAACAACAGCCACGTTCTTTACCTGCACCTTCAAGAACTTCACAAGCATCAGGAAGCAACCAAGGTTTCTTTGCACATTGTGTGACAACAGTAGCTGAAGTCCATGACAGTGAGGTGGACTTGCTGTCAGGCATGATGACCTCATGT